CTGAACACTAAAAACCACTACAACCGTTCTTGTTTTTTTCATTAAAATTCCATTTTTTCCAGCTGTACATCTTAATTTTCTTTTCCCTTTACTTTCTACTTCTAAAATTGCAACCTAAACACAATTAAATAGCCAAAAAAAAAAAAGGAAAACATCTTTTGCAAGAATCTTTTTCTTTCTCTCACTGCTATTTCTATAACTGTAAACTAGCTCTATTTCATCAAAATTGATTCCCAAATAGAAAATTCAATGCATAAAAACTTAATCAAACTGAAAAAAAAAAACACTCACTTCAAACCTTGTGCAGTTCCTTGAGTAGAACGGCCACTGGAAGAAGCTTTTGCACCGCGCTTGCTCTTGCCCATCAGTGAGTTCATTCGCTGTCCAAACGGCATTCGATCAATCTCATCCCACTCCCGCTCTTCCTTTTCAGCCTTAGCGATCGCAGCATTCATTTTTGCATAACCATCCATAGCTACTTCTTTCTATATCAATCAAGAAAACAAAAAAGAAATCGTTGTTTTTCTAGGGTTTCAATGCACAAATGAATTTTTCTACGTTCATACAATGAAATGCACAGAAAAAATGTGAAGAATCAGAGAAGAAGAAGAAGAATTTTACCTTTTTGCAGAGCTTTTTTGGTTTTTTGTGAGAGAATTTTGTTGCAACAGAGATGAATGAGAGAGAAAATGGATTTTGCAAACATAAAGGTGTTTTGGCGCTATTTTTCTAATTTGGGCTTTAGTTTATTTTGGGTTTTTTTTCCGGGTCGATCGATTAAATATGTAACTTATCTAGACAATTATGATTACGTAACTTATCTTGACAAAGAAAAATTGTGTTGTTTAGTTGTTTATCGAAATAATAGTTAATAAATGTATTATTATTATTTTTGTAGATGTAATTTGCTCATACAAGGATGGTCTAGGAGAAAAAATTAGAGTTTTATCGATAGAAGTGAAATTTTTTTCTCAAAAATTGGTTCATAATTAAAAAATAATTGAAGAGATTTTCAAAATATATGGTCAAACAGGTCAAGTGTATAGTCAAATAAACATTTAAAGATAGTTTTACAAATTTTAATTAAAAATTCACAAGGACGGTCTTGAGAAAAAATTAAAATTTTGTGGGTGGAAGTGAATTTCTCTATAAAGTTGGTCTATAATTGAAAAAATTGAAGACAAATTTCTAAAATATATAGTCAAACAATTTAAAATATATGGTCAAAAAAATTAAATGCATGGTCAAATAAATATTTTAAGAGAGATTTACATGATTAAAAATTTACAGGGCGGTCAAACAATTTAATTCAGAATCCATTACCATTGCTTTGGAATTAAAGAAAATTAAGGAAAAAAAGGAGTAAAAAATGAACGAGAAAGTTAAAAGAAAAAAAAAACTTTGTTTCACCTCTTAAGATCTATAATATTTTCGATTTAAAATTCTATATAGTGTAAAGCGTAGTATGAAGAGTGATTTCACTCTGTTTATAGTGTGTGTAAGCTAGAAAATACGTTAAAACGATATTCATGATTTGTTATGACTTATTCTTCTTTTCTTAATCATTTTTCTTTTTTAAATCTCTACATCTTTTATTAATAAAAGTGTATTAATTGATTGAAACTTATAACCTTAAGATACTACTTATATTAAAATAAATAAATCTAATTATAAATCACAATTGAATTTTATTGTAAACTCAATTAAAATTTAAATAAGACAACCTTGAAAATCTTCTTATTTATAATTTTAATTTGTTTTAGTAATCATATTTTAATTTAAATTGTAATTTAATCATAAATACTTATATTTTATGATACTTAGGCCTTATTTGTTTTAATTAAGATTAGAGATGTCAAAATTGGTTGTCCCAATCCAACCCAATCCTAACGGACTAGAGAGTTAAGTGGTTGGAGTGTGCTGACCCTTTTAATTAAAGGATCAATAAAATAGCAGCTCAACCCAGCCCTAAGCAGGCCACGGATTGGGACGGGTTGACCCTTCAACCAAAAAATGAACAATATTACTCTCTTAGAAAGAGTACTGAATTTTGACGTCTATGAACACAACATCAATTCATATATGAATTTATTTATAAATCACACACTTCGATGAATACTTACAAAAATATATTTATGAATCACACACTTTGGTGAATACTTGAAAAAATATATAATAGCCAACATAAGATTTAGCGGATAAATGTTGATCATTCCATCATTTCTCCCACAAAAAACTAGCTGGTTTAAAAAATTTCCAGCAACACAAGGCAGTCTAAATACTTAACAAATCTAAATTTCTAAATATTACATGACTTATTAAGTAACGTTTTATAACTCCTCTTCTACTTTCATCATCGATGACATTTGAATCAACATGTGACATTATTTTCTTAAGAAGTTCATCTTCATCTACAATTCATCATGCAAGATGATATTACAAAATACTTGATTATTTGTTTTTCAAAATATTTATTCATAAAATCTTTACAACTAAAACACTATTAAAAATATATATAAAAAAAATTAAAAAAATTTATAGCCCACGGGCTGGTCTCTGAGGCTTGCGGGTTGGTCCTAAGAGGCCAAATGGGGCGGGCTAAAAAGCCTCGTTCATAGATGGGCCAAAAATATTAAGCTCAACCCCACTTATTTCAAGGGTTGGGTTGGGTTGGGCAGGCTCGCGGGCCAATCCCATTTATTTGACGACTCTAATTAAGATTAAGACGTCTGAATCTGAATACACATTTGAATATTAAGATCTAAATGTGTAAATTTGAATAAACATATGAATATTAAGATATTGTCTCTGAATCTGAACATGTGAATGTTTGTTTTCAATAGCTGAATGTGTCTATGAAATTAAATGTTATATCAATAAAATATTATAACTCATGTTAGTAAAATAGTTTTTTTTAATAGAAATTTTGTACATTTTTAACGTAACAAAGTAATATGAAACATCAAGTTACAACATTAATAAGACTACTTTTGCACTCAAAAACTTTGAGAATTTAATATAATGCAATATAAAATAGTTTATATAGAGTAGTAGTATACTGTTTAGGAAAATATATTATTTTATAATAGACATTTATTATTATTATCGATCAAACAACTAATATTTTTTATTTTCTGAAATCGTGCTAAATATTATATGATGGGAGTTCTTATCAATTCAAATATATTGATTGATTTATGAAAGTAAATGACATATTAAGTTAATAAGAAAAAAGGAAATTATAACGGTAAGCATGTAATTAACATTAATTAAATAAGAAAACAACTTTCATGAGTTGTTGTGATGTAGTTGAATTAAGATAGAAATCTTATTTTCGAGTCTGAATGGTGTTAAGAGGATGTTACAGATCTTTCAGATATATTCAGACCCATGAAGAGGCTTATAAGAAAATAAAACAAACGAACTTAATGAACTGAATCTGAATAATTAAGATTCAGTCCTTAAAAACAAACACACTTAGGCCTCATTTGTTTGCACTTAATGGAGGTCTAAATCTTAATCATTCAGATTCAGCCCATTAAGTACATTTGAGTTTTAGGTCTGAATTTTAGTTATTCAGATTCAGCTCATTAAGTTCGTTTGGTTTATTTTTTAAAAAGTCTCTTAATGGGTCTGAAGAGATCTAAATGAATCATATTTGTAGGAGTCTCTTAACAACATTCAGACTCATTTAAATAAGTTATCAAATAATAAATCACCGCTTCTGAATACACATATGAATATTATATTAATAAAATATTATTATATTTTCATTTCAACAAAATGTATCACTTTTGATTTAAAAAAAGTTCTAATAATCATGATTTGGAGTACTATTTTTTCATTCAAAAGCCTTGATAAACAACAATACACCAAAAATATTATTGCGACCAAGTGTTCTTGACACACATCAATACAAGAAATTTTTATGAAAACTTACCGGTTGGGAAAAATGGTATATGATTGAGAAAAGTGAAAAATAGAGTTTTTAGTTATGAGATAAAAAGACACATCTAAAGTAGAAAGCTACAATTTATTATTTAATAACTTATCAAATGAGTCTGAATGTTATTAAGAATGTCCTACAGATCTGATTCGTTCAGATCTCTTCAGACCCATTAAGAGATTTTTCCAAAAATAAAATAAATGAACTTAATGGACTAATTAAGATTCTGACCTCCATTAAGTGCAAACAAATGAGGCCTAAAAGATTTTCTATCTTTTTGAAAATCCAAAGAAGAATACACAACATTATTTGATTATAGAATTGACCAATTTGTTAATGTAATACTAATGCAGCACATAATCAGATGAAGAACTCAGACAATGTTTCCCTTACCTAAGGAACTAATGTTGACATAGAAGCAACTACAAATCAAGTTGAGAATATACCATTTTCCGCCGCCTATAGGGGATTGATAGATGGTCAAATATCACACACAGAGCCAAAGAGTTTTAGGCATATGTAAACAGAAGAACCATAAATGAACAAGTCGAAAAAACAATTTTGAGTATAGCATAGAACTTTAGAAGCAACATTTCTTTTCCGATACAATACATGAAAATTCTTGGATTGGTAAAGCAGGAAGAAAAATTGGCTGATGTAGAAGGTTTATTTGTTATCATCAACCACACAGTTTACATACTCAGGCAGACTGACTTCAACGCCTATAGTAAGAAGCGCTTATAGCAAGTGTTAGCTCTATTTATCTTTCTAAACCGACATCTCTTCAAATTGGAAAACTAACTATTTGGTATTAGTTGAAGTATTCACCTTTTCATTTTAGAGTTTACTAATTCTCAAGTTCAAATTCTTGATTTTGACTACTATAAGTTATGAATTTAATTAAGATCGCATGATCCTAGGATATGATTTGAGTATCAAAAGTTTAAGCTTGTTCACATCAGTTAACTCACCATGGCTCGGCAGAAGCAGAGAGACAAGAGCTGCAAAGTTTGTGAAGAGACTGGTTGTTGCAGCAGATTCTCAAAGACAAATACTAGAGCTGTGACCTTTGTTTCTTAGAAGAAGAGCATCTGGCATCATCATACTGACCCCTCCTTTTCACGATGCAGTGTTCTGTTGGTTCATCATTATTTCCCGTCATTTCACACAGGGCCTTGAGCTTAGATTCATCTTTATACAGCAAACGAAGTCCAAACTCCTTCAACTCTTCCGAAAAAGATAACTTTATGTGCCTATAATCATTTGGTGTTTTTCCGTTTGCCTTAGATATATCCCACAATCCAGCAAGAGGTACCAAGAAAAAATGAATAGCAGATTCTGGAAATCCTTCTGACTGATTGGATAAGGCAAGTGACTGCGTGATACACGGCATCATTTTATCACATAACAATTGAGCTGTGGTGTCTATTAAGCAGCCAGAGTAACATACAGCAAATCCCAAGAAGTTATCACATGCATACCAATTTTCAGGCAATTCGACTGATGTACTTTTATCTTTTCCCTTATGGTGGAACCATCTTGGGATATTTTTCCACTCATTGGTAAACACTCTGAGTGACAAGGAATCTGAAGCACAGATGTCATGCTGGACTGATGAGATATTCTGAAACAATGAATTACAGATTGAATCATTGCTCCAATCGGCGTATATTGTGTCTAATTGCCGTGGAAATTCTGGCAGTTGTGTAAGCTTCTTGCAATCTAATAAGTCCAAGGATTGAAGAGCACAAAGTCGGGCTATGCTTTGAGGCAAATGCTCGAAATTATTTCCCCTCAGATTCAACGCTTTCAAACAGTGTAGGCATCCAATGTCTATCGGAAGTCCTTCATTTATTAGATTGCAGTAACTGAGATCCAGATGTTCCAATGAGCGCAATCCTTCATTCACTCGAGGGAATGAAAAGTACACTCCGTTTTCGAGGCCTACTTCTGATTTTTGTTTTGCAAAAGTCAAAACTTTAAGCCTGTTCAAGCGGACGATGGAAGACGGAGGTTGTGAGATTAGAGTACATCTGGCCTCAAGTATCTCCAGGTTTTCTAAATCACCTATCTCTTTTGGCAAGATTTTGAGTTTTGAGCAGTCGGACACTTTTAGCTTTACCAAACGTTTTAACTCGCCAATGCTGCTTGGAAGTGTTGCAAGGTTTTGCATGCCAATCAAATCTAGTTCTGTAAGACAAGACTGGTGCTGAATAATAGCTGATGGTAGTTTCCTTATCCCAGAACGTTGCACTTGAATCTTTATCTCTGGCTTCAATTTTCCCCGGATCTTCGGGAATTTCTCTAAATTAGAGCAACCTTGTAGATATAGACATTCAAGAGATTCCCAGCAAACATAGCTAAAACTCTCGAGGCTTTTACAGTCTCTCAAATTTAACTTATTGAGTTTTTTGGAACATCTCAAGGAATGGTGAACCTCTTTAAGATTGGTACACTCTTTTAGACCCAAATACTCCAAATTTGGCATATCCGAGAAATCTGGTGTTCGCCTCAAGTTAGCACAGCGGCTGAGAACCAGCCTCCGTAGAAAAGGAAATTTCTGCTATTCAAAACAGTAAAAGAATGAGGTAGGAAAATAAGAAATGTTAGGTAAAAGAATAATCATATAATTAGGGTGGATTTAGATTTGGCTAGTGGCTATTTGTGAATCTACAAACTATTGTGTTTCATTTCTTCTTCGTTTTTCAAAAGCTACTAAATTCACGTGAACTTGTAATAAGCCTTTGGATCTGCCCCTGGCTAAAGATAAAAGTATTTGATTCTTTAAAAAGTCTAATCGGGATACATTAGGTGTGTTTTTGACCATTAACTCATCAATAAAAGGTGTATCTATGGTCCAGTTGAGATGTATATCCAAAAGTTATTGTCAACTTTGAGTGTCTATCTATGTATTTGATCAAAATAAAAATAAAATTGAATTCAGTTATTTTACCTTTGTTCCGGTCCATAAATGAAACAGTGAACTCTGCTGGAGATCAAGATGAACAAGCATGTCAGGATCAAATTTGGCTGGCAATGATTCCCAAGGATACTTACAACAGTCGAACCAACGCAAGTTGCTGGGAAGGTACTGATCGTTGGAGCTATCATGTGTATGAAAACCATTGATGTATAATATCCTAAGCTTTTCCACGTCTTTCATGGCCTTTTTTTTAAAGCTTAGGTCTTGAATTTCTGGTATCCAGATTGTTTCGATTGCCTTGGTCCCCTGACAAAAGAATCATTAGTCTACAAAGTATAACTTCAAATATCTGCATAAATAAAATCCGCACTCAGTATGACTACTTTCTCACTTCTCGCAATGCCAAATTTCTCATGTTCCGTTTATTTACTATTGCACTTGAAGTTCTTGAATAACTAGTGCCACTAGAAAAATCAAGGTACAATATTAGTCAGGTCTTTCTCAAGAAATATGTTGCTTAAGAGAAATACTTTGAGCAATTAATTTTGTAAAGAAGTACATTTTCTTGAGAAGTTCTTTAAAATCGAGTCGAAAAGTTTTTCACATTGTGATAGAAGGAAACTGTAATTTAAATAAAACCAGTAATTGTCATCTTTCAAACAAAAAGTAATCGATGAACAAGTGCCTAACAGACCGAGGATTGATAAGGTAAGTTTTGGCCCCCACTTACTTGTATTTTTGCATTTGAGAATTTTTCGAAATCTTGAGTGAGCCATAGTCTGCTGAGTTCTCCCCTTTCCTTTTGCAATGTCACTATGTATTTTCCCATCTCTTGTATTAACTCATGCATTTGAATTATATCATTTTCAGAGATGAACACAAGAGACTTGTCAATTAGCACCCTCAATCCGTCATCAGCTCCAAAATCACAGCTCTCAAGAATTTGCTTGACTTTGGTTTGTTTTTTCCCTCTTAAGAAGCATGCAATATCTAGAAATATCTCTTGATCTTCACGCTCCAACCCATCATAACTTACTTTGAGGTTTTCAACAACTTTTGAACTAGAGTTCCTCTTTATTCGATCAACAGCACTTCTCCACACGTGTATATCCTTCTTATGTAAGGAAGAACCCCACACTTTCAGGGCTAAAGGAAGGCCTTCTGCATGACTTACTACCTCCAACGTTATCTCCTCGAAACACTTATCTGGAACTTCATTTTTGAAAGCATATTGGTTGAACAACTGAATAGCATCATGTTCAAGTAGTGTAGTCATAGGATATACAGCATCGTTTTTTCCTATGAAATGTTTGTCCCTAGTTGTTGCAATAATTCTGCTGCCATTACCAAACCAATCAAGATCCCCTGCAAGGTAATCCAATTGGTCTTCATGATCTATGTTATCAAGCACAACTAGAACCTTCTTCAAACGAAGTCTACGAGCCATCAGGTGCCTCCCTTCCTCCTTATCATGCACACTTTCTTTTTCCCCAACCAGTTTAGAGAGAAGAATACTTTGCAGAGAATGTATTTCATACTTGTTTTCTTTATTGTACGGAAGGAAACAAGCCCCGTCAAATTTAAATTTAGATGAGAGTAAATCAAAAATAGCTCTAGCTATAGTCGTTTTACCAACTCCCACCATTCCCCAGATCCACACAATCCGAACATCATTTGCTTTCATCTCTAGAAGGGAGTTGACTTTCTTTAAATGAGCATCTATTCCCACAACATCTGTCAAATAAGATAAAGAAGTCTCACGTAATTTGGGCGAAATTCTATTAACAAGATCCCCAATACATTCAGATTCAATCCTACAAAAAGAGTTACAACATTATTGATATATACAGATAAGAGAGACAAGAATAAGCTTTTCGCATCCAAACTCACCAATCGCGGATATCATATCCTTTTAAATCTGCGGCATCTCTTAGAGCAGTCCTCCATCTTTGCATCTTTTGGATTCCTTCATCATCATTCTCATACCTCAATTTGTGTTTGGTAAATGCGTCTGCAAAGCTTTCACTTTGGTTTCGAACATGTGATGAATCCACATCATAGAAGACTGGTATGACTAATTGTCCATCTTTCACGTTGCATTCCATGATCTTCACTAGTTCATTCAAGCACCACCTCGACTCAGCATAATTCTTTGAGAAAATGATTACGGCAACTTGAGACTCTTCTATAGCTTTCACTAGTTCTTTTGAGAGGGAATCACCATTCTCTAGCCTTTTATTATCTAGAAAGGTGATTATTCCCCTGTTATCCAAACGTTCATACAAGTGACTCGTAAAATTTCTGCGAGTATCTTTGCCTCTAAAACTTAGAAACACATCGTACTTGTACTTCCGTTGAGGACATGGATACTGTGAATTACTCTCAGAAGAATAAGATGATGATGCCATCATTTCTTGGCAGATTTGGAAGGTGAAGGGGAGGAAGGAAGTCTTGTCTGGCCAATGGAGATCACAAGAGAGAAAAAATGTTATTGTTGACCATGGTTAAAAATGATTGTATTTTAGAAAATAAATCTGAACCATTCATTATTTTTTGGAGACAGGTGTCATAAAAATACACACCCAACTAGAGAGATGACATACTGGAGGGGAGGGGAGCCAAAACCATTGACTTGAATCAATTATTGCTATGGTACCAGTCAACTGGTAAGCATTTCCATTGAATAATCATTCATATAATAAAGTAAGAGACAACTTTCTGTGAAGCTTCTGAAGTGTGAACATGTTTGTATGAAACGGTCAAGAGCACACATCTTAACCAAACTCTTTTTAGATCCATTTACTAGCGGTATGAATGTTGAGTAATGGTTAAAACGGAGTAAATAGAACCAAATAAAGTGCAGTAAAGAGTAAGGAGTATAGATCTGAATGTTTCAGTGTGTTTGCAAGCATATCTGGGAGCACTAATCTTAGCTCTGAGAGTATCTTCGTGTGAATGTGTTAGGCAAGAACTTGGACAAAGTAAAAGTAGACTGGGATTAAAGAAGATAATGTATTGTTGTTGTATTGGTAGAATTTGAAATTCCTTTACAAATGTTTGATGCAAACTATTTAAAGGTTACAGTGGGGAGGGGCTTTGGCCAATCCCTTTCATAATAAGACCAATGATAAAACACCAGGTGGTGGTACCGTTAATAATGCCAGCTAATATTCCTATAGAGCTCAAATTCGTACAAGGCTCGTCAGCGCACCTGAATCTCCCAACATCTTCTCTCCCTTGTCTCATTGTCCTTCAGATTCATCTGTTCTATCTTCAATTCATTCCCAGAGGATGTCTTCTTGAAGGCTCTTTGGTGTGCTCTCGGGTGACCTGTTTTCCGAGCCTTCTCTTGTAACCTCCCTTGTTTTGTCTCCTTCCATGCCACATGTACCTGGACAAGTTTAATACACAGAGATTGTGGTTGTTATAAGAGATAAAATTGATGGTATTTGGTACAAAGTTTATATAAAGAAAGTCAACTTGTATATATGCTGTAGAGAGTAGGAAATTTTTGTCATAGAATTACACCTACCTACCTTAAGTGGCTCCATACTCCAGAGTAATTTGTACACAATGCACAACTAAAAGTACAAGCTGATGAAGCTGCAAGGAAAAAGAAGAATAATTTCTTTGTCGCTGACAGAACAGTTTGACTTCACTCATGTTTGTCTCGATTGATAACTGTTTTTTTTTTGGTAGACAAGATAGTATGTTAAACACGCTGGCTATTACAGAGTGGTTACATAGCTGGGTTGACCATTTGTTGATTGCATAGTAGAATTAGATAAAGCAGTGGGAGCAAAAGTAATAGCACTAGCACTAGCACTAGGAAGGGTTATTTACAACTCCAGAAGGGGGAAACTATGCTGACTAGTGACTATGTGCTTTTTACGCAGGTAAACAGTGCCTGCTTTATCAGCGTGGAGTGCATTGGTAATGCAATCTGGAGCTTGGTCAAAAACTTGTAGTGAACACCCTGGTGGTTGTTGGGATTGCCATCCCGTTCTAATTCTCCAATTCTGAGATGACAAATTTCCAGTACTTTTATTGATTTTTTGGTTGTTACCATAATACTGGATTGGATTGATCAGTTTCGGTGTTTTGTTCCTAACCACCAACTATTTCTACCACATGTAGATTTGAAAGTGGAACAATATCAAAACTCTATGCTTGCTTGACGTTAACAGAAAGCACTTGAGCTCTACATCCGAAGGAAGAATAGTTACTCTACCACCAGATCTCCATTTGGTTCCTGGATATAGTTTCCCTTTGGTCCGTTTGCTTTGTGATGTGAGGTGACTTACTGATAGTTCCATGGATTCTCACCCACCCGTTTTGGCAAAGTTTTCTTGCTTCTCGCACATTTATCTGCAATAGGATTATGGACAGGCTAATCATCAGCAAATGTGAAGATGTGATTCTATATCATAATGAAATGTGGCATTCTGGTCTAAGAGAGGTGTAGTGTGACGTCTACTAATATGACAAGTATATAATGATTTGAAGAGAACGTATTATTGCATACTTCTCAGGCCAAGACACTAGTAATTCACATAATTGGTTTGTGAGTACTTTTAGGTACTAACTGAATTAATGTTGCGTGATTCCAGGATCTGATTTGAGCATCGAAAATTTGAACTTGTTAGCCTATAACTCACCTTGGTTAATCATGGTTCACACAAGCGGATATAATATGAAGAATCAGTTGACGAAACTCACTGAAAATATGTAAATCAATGATTGAAGAGCTCCTGTCAATAAAGGAAAGAAGAAAGAAAACAAAAGGGTAAAAAAGAATCAGTATAAAAAATTGTCAATTTTGGAAGAAGATTTTGTAGATAATAGGAGAGAATACAGTTTCACAACAAACTAGGGAAAAAGAAAATCATGAGGCATATTACCTATACTTAAGAAATGTGACCTTCTAATGTTATTGACTATTCGACATCAACTGGCTTCATTGGACAACGGAGTCATGAGTTCTATATCTGTTGGTTCATCATCATTTTCTCTCATTTGTAATAATGCATCAGTTGCTGCCAATATGGAATTCACACTGCATCAAATGGATGTGTAGAGTGCCTTCCTGAATGAGTTATTAAAGGAGGTTAAATGGGGAGGGGTTCAAATTTCGGATAGAGGGATTAAGTGCCAAACTGAGTCATCCCACATAAAGCTTTTAAAGTTATGTAATGTTTTAGAAACTTCTGGTTTTTCTAAAATGAATTTATTTTGCAAGTAAAATGGTGAATATCAGTTTCTGATGAAGAGCATACAAGAGTAGGTTCTTTCTGATTAGATAGCCATCACAATAGTAAGCATTTGTGGCATTCAAGTTAGTTCTATAAATTAAAATTCAAGTTAAGTTCTACAAGTGAAATCCAGATTGCTCACTTTGTCAACATCTTCAGAGTTTAGTCTCTTGCTCCTGCTTAGTTAACTGTGGCAACTGCCACATAAACTCCCCAGCAGCTGCACAGGCCTCAAAACCCCACCAAAATTTACTTCATGGAGGAAAAACTAGTTCTGTAACTAATGCTGCACATAATTAAATGAAGAACTAAGAGAATGATTCCCTCACTTGAGGAATTAATGTTGATATATAAGCATCTACAGATTAAGTTGAGAACTATCCCATTTTTTGCCTAATATAGGGGATTGATGCGCAAACATCACACAGCAAAGCCAAAGCAAAGACTCCGATTGCGGATTGCCCAATTCGAACAATGGAAATAGCAAATGAAGTTTTCATCAGCTAAAAAATGATACTTCAAAGTGAATATGATATTTGATTCTGAGGAGAAACCTAGTCCTTCATTCTCACTGGAAAACGTGAGTGAACTAATTAAAGAAACCAAAAATACTTGATTTCAGCAAATCACTTTAGAGCCAATTAAATTGTAAAAAGAACCACAAATGAACAAGTCGACATTACAAATTTGAGTATAATATAGAACTTAAGAGAAATTTGTTTCTAATACTCTAAAGAGACGTTTGGTGTGAGGTATAATGTACAATATTCTCGAGATACAATGCAGGATATTTTTATACTGTTTTTGGTTGGAGGTATTAGGTAGCCTTTGAATTATTTATCCCACCATTTATACTATATTGATGGGATAACTTATCCATAGACATAGTGGAATAACTTACTCCGGGATAACTTATCCCAACCAAATGACCTTATAGGGTTGTTTGGTACGAGGGATAAGAGATAAAAATACCTGGATAAACGCATGATTATTTATTCTATGTTTGGTTAAGGGTATCAGTTCGGGATTATTTATCCCCTATTTGTACTAAAATGATAGAATAAGTTATACTATATAAATTGGGGGTTAACTAATCCCTTGGGATATCCCAATCCATGAGATATCGTTGTCTATCCCATCCCCATACTTAACAACCCTTAAAATGTTTACTAATTTTCATGTTCAGATTCTTGATTTGCGGGTACCTATCGTGAAAAAAAAATCTTCACTTGTGAGCACTTTTAAGGCAAGAATCCAGGATCTCATTTGAATATCAAGAAATTAAACTTGCTCACATCCTTCAACTCACCTTGGTTAATCATATGGCTTAACACAAGATGGAGAATCAATCGACAAAACTCACAGTTGATATGTATATCACCATTGATGAGCTCATGTCAATACGGGAAAGAATAAAGAACAAAAAGGAAAAGAAATGAAAAAAAATTATTAACAGAATTGGAAGAAGACCTTGTAGGTTGTAGCTAATAGAACAGAATTACATAAAAGGAGTTGAACTGAATTTCACTACCAACTAGGGAAAAAAATTAATCATGAGGTATATTACCTATATTTAAGCCAAAATTCTGGGTTTCGGGGAAAGAGCTGCAAAGTTTCTGAAGAAACTGGTTGTTGCTGCAGATTCTCAAAGACAGGTCCAATGAATGAATATTAGAAATGTGACCTTTGTTTCTTAGAAGAGGAGCAGCCGACTTCATCATGGTGTTCACTATCGTCAGATCTGTTCCTCTTTGTCCCAATGCAATGTTCTGTTGGTTCATCTTTATACAACATACGAAATCCAAACTCCTTCATTTCTCCGGAGAACAATAACTTAATAAGCCCATAGTCATTTGGTGTTTTCCCATTTGCCTTAGATGTTTCCCATAAGCCAGCAAGAGGTACCAAGAAAAAATGAATAGTAGGTTCAGTATCACATTCTAAACCGCTGGATGATTCTGAATCATAATTTGGAAGGGTGGATAATTCTAGTTTCTGGGTCATCCGATCATCACACAAGGGAATCAAGTCAACTGTGATGTCAATTAGGTTGCCAGAGTAACATACAGCAAATCCCAAAAAGTTATCACTTACATACCAATTTTCAGGCAAATTGATCGATACACTTTCATTTATTCCCTGATGGTGGAACCAACTTGGGATCTTATTCCCACCATGCACAATGGTAAACACTCTTTGTGACAAGGAATCTGAAGCAGAGATGGCATTCGACAAGGAAACGATATCCTGAGACAAAGAACGCGGAAGTGAAATATACATGGAATTTAGATCCCTCATCACACTGTCTAACAAGTGAATATCCGACTTCAGTTTCATGCTTGCGAGGATTTCTGGAAAATTTTCTAAACTAGAGCACCCCTCTAGATTCAGATATTCAAGGGAATCGATGCACAGAACTCGAAACCTCTTGAGCCATTTACAATTAGTCAATTTTAATGTACAGAGCTTTTTGAGACATCCCAGGGAATGATGAACCTCTTCAAGATTCATACAATTTGACAGATTCAAAGTCTCCAAGTTTTGCATCCCACCGAAACCTGGCAACTCTTTAAGCCTCTTGCAATATGATAGGTCCAAGGATCGAAGAGCACCAAGTTGGGCTATGCTTTGAGGCAAATGCTCAAAATTATTTCCACAGAGACATAACTCGTTCAAAGAGGATAAGTATCCAATGTCTTGCGGAAGCCCTCCATCTATTAGATTGCAGTAGCTGAGATTCAGAATCTCCAACAAGCGTAATCCATCAGACACTGGAGGGAAAACAAAGCAAACTCCATCTTCGAGGCCTACTTCTGATTCTTGTTTTGCGAACCGCAAGAAATGAAGCTTGTTCAAATGGACTATGGAGCGCGGAGGTTGTGAAATTAGAGTATCTTTGGCATCAAGCCACTCCAAGTTTTCTAAATCCCCTATCTCTTTTGGAAAGCTTTCAAGTTTTGAGCATGCCGAGACATTTAGCTCCACCAAATTTTTCAACTTACAAATAGTGCTCGGAAGTGTTACAAGGTTTTCTAAACCTCTCAAATCTAGGCACCTTATCCCACTCTTTAACTTCAAATTCATGCTTCCGGTGATTTCTGGAAAATTTTCTAAACTAGAGCACCCCTCCAGATTCAGATATTCAAGGGAGTCGATGCACAAAACTGGAAACCTCTTGATTCTTTCACAATTAGTCAATTTTAATGAACAGAGCTTTTCAAGAAATCCCAGGGAATGATGAACCTCTTCAAGATTCATACAATTTGACAGATTCAAAGTCTCCAAGTATGGGATCCCCATGAAACCTGGCAACTCTTTGAGCCTCTTGCAATCTGATAAGTTCAAGAATCGAAGAGCGCCAAGTTGTGCTATGCTTCGAGGCAAATGCTCGAAATTATTTCCACAGAGATACAACTCTTTCAAAGAGCGTAGGCAACCAATATCTTCTGGAAGTCCTCCATCTATTAGATTGCAGTAACTGAGATCTAGATGTTCCAATGACCGTAACCCTTCATCCACTTGAGGGAACACAAAGTTCACTCCATCTACGAAACCTCCTCCAGAATTTCGTTTTGCAAAACTCAAAAATTTAAGCTTGTTCAACTGGACAATGGAAAATGGAGGTTGTGAGATTAGAGTACCTCTAGCATCAAGATTCTCCAAGTTTTTTAAATCCCCTATCTCTTCTGGAAAGTTTTTAAGCTTAGAGCAATCCGACACATTTAGGCTGACCAAACTTTCCAACTTACAAATGCTGCTTGGAAGTGTTGCAAGGTTTTCAAAACCTCTAAAACCTAGAGCCCTTATTACACTGTCGAGCATGTGAATCTCTAACTCCGCTTTCATGCTACCGAGTATTACCGGAATTTTCTCTAAACTAGAGCAATCCCGTAAACACAAATAGTCAAGAGAATCGATGCACAGAGCTGGAAACCTCTTAAGCCGTTTACAATTAGTCAATTTTAATGTACAGAGCTTTCTGAGAAGTCCCAGGGAATGATGAACCTCTTCAAGATTTATACAATTTGACAGATTCAAAGTCTCCAAGTTTTGCATCCCCATGAAACCTGGCAAATCTTTAAGCCTCTTGCAATATGATAGGTCCAAAGATCGAAGAGCACCAAGTTGGGCTATGCTTTGAGGTAAATGCCCAATGTTATTTATACTGAGATTCAAAGTCACCAAGTTTGGCATCCCCATGAAACCTGGCAACTCTTTAAGCCTCTTGCACTCTTTTAAGTCCAAGGATCGAAGAGCACCAAGTTGTGCTATGCTTTGAGGCAGATGCTCAAAATTGTTTCCGCTGAGATTCAACTCTTTCAAAGAAGATAAGGATCCAATGTCTTCCGGAAGTCCTCCATCTATTAAATTGCAGTAACTGAGATCCAGATCTTCCAATGAGCGTAACCCTTCATTCACTTGAGGGAACACAAAGTACACTCCATCTTCGAGGCTTACGCTATATCTTTGTTTTGCAAAACTCATGAATTTAAGCTTGTTCAAGCAAACGACGGAAGACGGAGGTCGTGAAATTAGAGTCCCTGTGGCATCAAGCTTCTCCAAGTTTACTAAATCTCCTAGATCTTCTGGCAAGCTTTCAAGTTTATAGCAATTCGACACATCTAGAATAACCAAACCTTTCAACATGCCCATGCTGCTCGGAAGAGATACAAGGCTTTCTAAGTGTCTCAGAGTTAGCCACTGAACAATATATGATGGTAGTTCCCTCATCTCAGAGTCCCACATCTTAATCTCTAAGCTCGGCTTCGTTCTTCCGCGGATTTCTGGAAATTTCTCTAAACGAGAGCAAAACTTTAGATCCAGATATTCAAGAGATTCCACGTTAACACATGGAAACCTCTTAAGGCGTTTACAATATATCAAATTTAACCTCTTGAGCTTTGTGGGACATCCCAGGGAATGGTGAACCTCTTCAAGATTAACACAATTGCCCAAATCCAAATACTCCAAATTTGGCATCTCCGTGAAATCTGGTGTTTGCGTCAGGTCTCTAGAGCGGCTGAGATCTAGGATCCTTAGATACGGAAACTGCTGCAATTCGGAACAGAAAAAGGATCAGAAAAGAAAACAAGAATGGCCAGGTAAAAGAATCTGTAAAAGAAAAATTGGCTGAAATTAAAGTGCATTTATCCGAATAAGAAGAAGATTTAGCCAAGATAGTAGAGTTCCAACAATGTTTTCTTTTAATTTTGTCTTTAGATGCAACGACTATTTATTTTAACATTGTGCTTTTCTACAAAATAATTGTACATAATTTGCCCTTTATGTTTTAATAACAAGTATCCGTTCTGTCCCACAACATACAATCTTAGGATGAGATTCATATCTTGCTAGGGAAATATTTGTATGACTTAGCTTCTTATAATTTAAAATTATGATAGGAAGATTTTTGGGAGATAAATGACATAAAGATCTTACAATAATTGATATGAGAACAACCCAAATTATATGAAATATATTAATATGAGTCCACGGATTTAATGACTTTTATTTGTTTAAAGACTTGCATCATAGTTTTAGAACAAGCTAAAATATAAAATAGATCAAATAAAACAAGCTCAAAGAAGTAGTATTTGCTCATCACTAAAGGACAAAGATAGTTAGAGAGAAATTAAAAAGAAACAAGAAATTAATTATTGTACCTTTATTCCCATCCATAAATGACGCAGTGAACTGAAGCGGAGTTGAAAATGAACAAGCCTTTTGGGTTCAAAATTTTCTGGCAATGACTCCCAAGGAAAGTGATTCCAGACAAACCAACACAAGTTGTTGGGCAAGTACTCAATGGAGCCATCATGGCAAGGGGAGCAATCTTGGGACCATATGCATAATATCCTAAGTTTTTCCATATTTTCCAGGGCCTCCTTGCTAAAGCTTATTTTCTCATCATAACGAAACCAGATTGCTTCCATTGCCTTGGTCCCCTGGTAAAAAAGATCATTGCTTTACAAAAATATAACTTCAAATGTCATATAAAATTCAATTGCCATATGATTACTTCCTCAATCCTTGCAGTGCCAAATTAGCGTACAATATTTGTTAGGTCTCTTAAACGAAATTTGTTGCTTAAGAGAAGTACTTTGTGCATTTAGTTCAACAGTTCTATTTTCTAATGGAGTTGTACATTTTCTGAAAGGTGCTTTGAAGTCAAGTGAGAGTTTTTTCATGCAGTGATAGAATAAAATTGTGAAGTAGTAGTGCCAATCACTTGTAATTTCAACAGTAAAGTGTATTCCTGATTGAGTTATATAATCTCATACAAAATTCAAGTTATTTCAAAAAAGGAAGCTGGTTTAAACAGAGTAAGTGGCTACTAGAGTAAATTGTGGCTTAGTAACATAAGAAAAAACAAATTAGGCAGTGGTAATTAAAGGGGCTACTTGACGAACTAGGCGGTGTTAGATAATTAATGTTACTTGCTTCTACTACTAAAGTAAAAAACTGATGTGACTTAAGTGCGGAAATATGAAGTAAGAAGAACAAATAATCGAATTGACCCTACATATGTCTTTGGAATATGAAAACTAGAAATCGAAAACTACAGTATTGTTTAGCCTACTTACTGTATTGTTGACCATCAGTTCTTCAAAATCTTCATACTCCCATATTCTGCTACATTCGCCTGCATCCTTTTGAATTTTCACTATATATTTACCCATATCTTGTATTAAGTCATGCATTTGAATTGTATCATCTTCAGTTAAGAAGACAAGAGATTTTTCAATTAGGACATCCAATCCATATTCAGGTCCAAAATCACAGCTCTCAAATATTTGCATGACTTTCTTTTTTTCATCTCCTCGGAAAAAACAAGCTATATCTAGAAACATCTCTTGTTCTTTGGGCTCCAACCCATCATAACTAATTTTGAGTTTTTCAACAATTTCCGAACTATAGTTTTTCTTTATTTTGTCTACAGTTCTTCTCCATTGAGTTAGGCCTTTCCTATGCAACAAAGAACCCCACACCTTGAGGGCTAACGGAAGGCCTTTAGCATGATGTACTACCTCCAACGAGAAGTTCTCATAACGCCCATCTGGAACTTCTTTTTTGAAAGCATACTGATTGAACAGTTGCATAGCTTCAAGATTAGGTAGTGTGGGCACTTCATATATTGCAGCAGCATCCTTCTCTATCAAAGCTCTATTTCTAGTTGTTACAACAACTCTGCTGCCATTACCAAACCAACCAACATCACCTGCTAAATACTCTAAATGATCTCTTTCATCGATGTCATCAAGCACAATTAGCACCTTCATCGAAGAAAGTCTGCTCAGAATCATGGACTTCCCATCATACTTATTATTGACGTAATCATCTGTTTCTCCTAACAGTTCAGAGAGAAGAGTATTTTGTAAATAATGCAGTTGATTCTTTTTGGCATTTTCTTTAACATCCTCGAGAAAACAAGCAGCTTTAAATTGATAAGATAGAGTATGAAACATGGCTTTTGCTATTGTTGTTTTACCGATTCCACCTGTTCCCCAGATCCCTACAATCCGGACATCATCAATTTCGATTTCAAGTCGGGATTTTAGTTTCTCTAAATGAGCATGTATTCCCACAACATCATTCAAAGAAGATAAAGAATAAGCACTATTGCATAATTTGAAAGAGATGTGGTCGACGATCTGCTGAATATTCTCAGATTCAATCCTACATAAATAAGAAGATTGATTGTGGAAAATGTGAGAAAGTCAAGTATAAGTAAGTATTTCATACTTTTAAGGGTAATTACAACAATCTATATGGAAGTTGCAGAACTTGCATAGTTTATGAAGATTTTTATGTATTCTCTCTAATGAAATTGATAGGAATATGCCTTCTTACTGATAGGAACATATATAATCTACCATCATTCTTTTGTGTTTTTAATTGATAGGACTATGCCTTCTTACTGATAAAACTGAACTCTTGAAGAACCAATCAAGATATTATCTACCTAACAATGTCATTAGCAATAAAACTAATAGGAATTATGCCTTCCTACAGATCGAAATATATAATTATTCTATTTTTAGAAAATATGAAAAGATAATTTAAGAAATATATAATCATTCTGTTTGACTCAGTTTTGTAGGTAGTTTTCACAGATGCATCCAAATTTGAATGGAGATAATTTTTCTTTTTTCATTTAAAGCAATTATGTATTTTTAACTCACCCATCACGGATATCGTATCCTTTTAGATCTGCGGCAGCAGTTAGGGCATTCCTCCATCGTTTCACCTTCTGCATTCCTTCAGCATCATCCTTATACATCGATTCATGTTTGGCAAAGGCTTCTTCTAAGCTCTCTCTTTGATTCCGAACATGTGATGGATCCACATCATAGAACACCGGTATGACAGTTTGTCCATTTTCTTCCTTGCATTCCATGATCTTCACTAGTTCATTCAAGCACCACACTGATGTAGCATAATTCTTTGAGAAAACTATAAGAGCAACTTGAGACTCTTCGATACCTTTCAAGAGTTCTTGGATCGAATCACCAAGCTCTAGCCTTTCATCACCTTGAAAGGTGAATATTCCCCTGTTTTTCAAACCTTGGTACAAGTGACTCATAAATGTTCTGCGAGTATCTTCACCTCTAAAACTTAGAAAGACATCGTACTTCCATTGAGGCAACTGTAACGATCTAGCAGAAGAAGAAGATGATGCCATGGATTCATTATTTTCCCTTATTTGTAACAAGCCCTCAAGATTTGGTTCTTGTTTATACAACAAACGAAATCCAAACTTCTTTTCTCCAGAAAAAGATATTGTAATAGGCCCATTTGGTGTTTCTCCAATTGCCTTAGATGTATCCCATAATCCAGCAAAAGGTACCAAGAAAAAATGAAGAGCAGTTTCTGGAAATTCTTCTGAATGGTTGGATAAGGCAAGTTTCTGGGTCATCAACGACATCCCATCATCACATAAGGGAATAAAGTCAACTGTGGTGTTACTTAAGTTGCCAGAGAAACATACAGCAAATCCCAAGAAGTTATCCGATGCATACCAATTTTCAGGCAAATCGACTGATACACTTCTACCAGTTCCGTGATAGTGGAACCAACTTGGGATATTTTTCCCCCTAGCTGTAAACACTCTTAGTGACAAGGGATCTGAAGCAGAGATGTCATTCTGGAATGGTGAGATATTCTGAAACAACGAATTACAGATTGAATCATTGCCCCAATCTGCATTTATTGTATCTAATTGCTGGGGAAGTTCTGGCAGCTGTGTAAGCTTCTTGCAATATGATAAGGTCAAGGATTGAAGAGCACCAAGTTGGACTATGCTTTGAGGCAAATGCTCAAAATTATTTCCAGTGAGATCTAACACTTTCAACGAGGATAAGCATCCAATGTCTTCTGGAAGTCCTCCATCTATTAAATTGCAGTAACTGAGATTTAGTTCTTCCAATGAGAGTAACCCTTCATTCACCTGAGGGAACATAAAGTACACTCCATCTTCTGATTTACGTTTCGCAAAGGTCAAGAATTTAAGATTGTTCAAGCGGACAATGGAAGACGGAGGTTGTGAAATTAGAGTCCCTGGGGCATAAAGTTCCTTCAAGTTTTCTAAATCAGCTATCTTTTCTGGCAAGCTTTCAAGTTTTGAGCAGTAGGACACATCTAGCTTTACCAAACCTTTCAACTCACAAATGCTGCTTGGAAGAGTTACAAGGTTTTCCATATCTCTCAAATCTAGCACTGTCAGACCAGCTCGGTACTCAATAATAGATGATGGTAGTTCCATTATCCAAGATCCTTGCATGTGAATCACTAACTCTGGCTTCATTCTTCCGAAGATTCCTGGAAATTTCTCTAAACTATAGCAACCATCTAGGTTCAGATATTCCATAGATTCCACATTGACACATGGAAACCTCTTTAAGCTTCCACAACTCTGCAAATTTAACTCAATGAGTTTTCTGCAACATACTAGGGAATGGTGAACCTCTTCAAGACTCGAACATTCCTCCAAATTCAAATACTCCAAATTTGGCATCCCTATAAAATCTGGTATTTGCATCAGGCTTTTGGAGTAGCTAAGATCCAGCTTCCGTAGAGATGGCAAATGCTGCAAAATTGTCAAAATACAAAAAGAATGAGATATATAGGAAATTAAGTTGCCCCGGATTTTGATTTATCTAGTGGGCTCATCTATGAATCAAATGATCTGTGTTTAATTGAAAAATTAACTACCAAGTGGAATATTTTCGCATATCTCTTCTTGCTTCTTCTATATAGAATGCACATTGCAACCCAAATTTGTATGATTATTTGCTTTACTTGTGTACTTTTTTTCTTTTGGGGGACCAAATCCATAGCAAAGTAACTTGGCTAGAATGCCATTGTTTTAGTCGAACAGAAAAGTTATGCGAAAATGGAACAGTTCCAACAGCAAACTTCTTTTTCGTTTCGTCTTTAGATAGAGTGACTATTTATTTCAAGTGTATATTTTTTGGCGGCAAAATTTGTATATAAAAGAATTTGGTTGCGATTCATTATTTTCAGTCAAACAAAAACATTTAGCCAGAATAATGAATTGTGTAAGTTTCTTCTTTAGATGCAATGACTATTTATTCTAATTGTGGATTGATTTGTGTATTTTTTTTCCAGTCCATATCTGTAAAAACAGTTGGTTGACATTTCATTACTTTAAAAAAAAAAACTTGGGAAAGGTTGACATTTCATTATGATTATCCACATATAAAAAATTAGCCCGCGCAGTAGAGTTTCAACTGTGTTTTCTTTTTATTTCCTCTTTAGATGCAACCACTATTTATTTCAGCACTGTGTTTTTCTTTTCAGGCCAAGCCTGTGGACTCGGCAGGAGGATAAATGATAACAAAGACAGTAATGAAAACAACATAAGTTTTTAAATTGAGCTTCTTAGTTAAATTATGATGCGGAGTTTTAAAGAAAACGACATAAAGGTAATATTAAACACAAGCATCATAATTCAAGGACAAACCAAAATAGAAAGTATCTCAAATAAAACGGTACCTTTGCCTCCGTCCATAGATAACATAGCGAACTCCACCGGAGATCCAAATGAACAAGCCTTTGGGGTTCAAAATTTTTTGGCAATGAATACCAAGGGAAGTGATTCCAGACAAACCAACGCAAGTTGCTGGGCAGGTACTCAATGGAGCCATAGGGAACGTCTTCCAAATCAATCAAAGAGGGAGGTGAAGAGACGGAAGTTATCCTATCAGATACGTTCCCATCACATATGAATAATATCCTAAGCCTTTTCATATTTTCCATTGCCTTTTTATTAATGCATAGTTGTTCAAAACAAGTTAACCAGATTGCTTCCACTGCTATGGTTCCCTGGTAAAAAGATCATGGGTCAACAAATCAGAACTTCAAATGCCGTATATATTCCGCAAATTACCAAACTTACTAGGGAAAATACACTAGTACCCCCTCAACCTATGCCCGAAATCTCAGAGACACACTTATACTATACTAAGGTCCTATTATCCCCCTAAACTAATTTTATAAATAATTTTCTACTCCTTTTCGGCCTACGTCAAGCTAGTCCACGTAGACCGAAAATGGGTAGAAAATTATTTATAAAATAAGTTCAGGGGGGTAATAAGACCTTAGTATAGTATAAGTGTCTCTGGGATTTCGGGCATAGGTTGAGGGGGTACTTGTGTATTTTCCCAAATTACTATTTTCTTACTGTACTCACATGCAAATTTTTGTCATGTTTTATATTATTTATTGTTGCACTTGAAGTTCTTGAAGAGCTATTTTTAAGGAAAAAAATTAGGGTACAATATTAGTTTGGTCTTTCATAAGAAATATGTCACTTTAGAGAAATGCTTTGTCGAATAATCTATTTTCTAGTGATACATTTTTTGAGAAGTTTTTTAGAGTGAAGTCAAAAAGTTTTTTCATGCTCTGATAAAACGAAATTGTTGAAGTAGTACAAACAATTGTCATCTTTTAAATTAAAAAAAATAATCAATGATCAAGGAAATTTCAGACCGGGGATTGGTAAAAAGGTAAGTTATGGCCCTCCCTACTTGAATTATTTCATTTGAGGATTTTTATAAATAAAAAGTTACTCGAGGCAAATATCTGGGTGATATTGGTTTATAAAACTACTAATTGAGTTAGTATGTAAAAAATATCGTAGAATTTACAAGCTAAGCAAAAGAATGAAATTGGATAAAACAGATTAAGTAGCCAAAGTGAATAACCTGCAAGAATATGAAGCAACAATAGGAACACATAATTGGTATTGACTTGCCGTATATGTTTTTGGAGTATGCAAACTAGAAATTGAATATTATTGTATTGTTTAGCCTACTTACTGTATTGTTGATAATCAGTTCTTTGCAGTCTTCAGCATCCCATACTCTGCTACATTCGCCCCGATCCTTTTGCATTTTCACTATATACCTACCCATATCTTGTACTGAGTCATACATTTCAATTGTATCATATTCAGAGATGAACACAAGAGATTTGTCAATTAGCACTCTCAATCCATCTTCAGCTCCAAAATCACAGCTCTCAAGAATTTGCTTGATCTCGGTTTGTTTTTTCCCTCTTAAGAAGCATGCAATATCTAGAAATATCTCTTGCTCTTCACGATCCAACCCATCATAACTTATTATGAGGTTTTCAACAATTTTTGAACTAGTGTTTCTCTTTATTCGGTCTGCAACACTTCTCCACACAGTTATGTCCTGCTTATATAACAAAGAACCCAATACTTTCAGGGCTAAAGGAAGGCCTTTAGCATGACCTACTACCTCCAATGTTAGCTTCTCGAAACACTCATCTATTACTTCTTCCTTGAAAGCATATTGATTAAACAGTTGAATAGCTTCATGTTCAGCTAATGTAGTCACTTCATAAACTACATTATTCTTCCCCATAATTTGCTTGTCTCTAGTTGTAGCAATGATTCTGCTTCCATTGCCAAACCAACCAAGATCCCCTGCTAGGTAATCCAAATGGTCTTTGTGATCTATGTCATCAAGCACAACTAAAACCTTCTTAAAACGAAGTCTGCGAGCAATCAGGTGCTTTCCAGCCTCCTTACTGATCACGTAATTAGCTTTTTCCCTTAATAGTTCAGAGAGAAGGATATTTTGCAGATAGTGCATTCCATGTTTGTTTTCCTTAATGTCCGCAAGGAAACAAGAACCATCGAATTGAGATGAGAGTGTATCGAAAACAGCTCTTGCTATTGTCGTTTTGCCGACTCCCCCAATTCCACAAATCCCCACAATCCTAACATCATCAATTTCCATCTCTAGCAGGGACCTTACTTCCTTTAAATGAGTATCTATTCCAACAATATCTTGCAAATAAGATAAAGAATTCTTGCATAATTTGGATGAAATTTCATTAACAAGATCCAGAATACAATCTGATTCAATTCTACAAAAAGTAACAACATTGTTGGTATGTATACAATTCAAAAATTCAACAAGAGAAGTATTTAACTCACCTCTCACGGATATCACAACCTTCTAGATATGAGGCATTACTTGCAGCAACCATCCATTTTATCACCTTGTGAATTCCTCCAACTTCATCCTTATACCTAATATTGTGTTTGGCAAATGCCTCTGCAAACGTTCCCCTTATGTATCGAACTTCTGATGGATCCACATCATAGAAGACTGGTATGACTAATTGCCCATTTTTCTCTTTGCATTCCATGATCTTCACTAATTCATTCAAACACCACTTCGATTTAGCATAATTCTTCGAGAAAATAACTACGGCAACTTGAGATTCTTCGATAACTTTCACGATTTGTTCAGAGATCGAATCGCCATGCTCTAGCGTTTCTTCGTCTAGAAAGGCCGAAATTCCTCTGTTTGTCAAAGCTTTGTACAAGTGACTTGTGAAATTTTTGCGAGTATCCCCGCCACAGAAATTTAGAAACACATCGTATCTCCACCGAGTCAACTGTGACGATCTAGCTGAAGATTCAGTTAATTGAGTCAACTGCCACGATCTAGCAGTAGCAGACGATGAAGAAGATGCCATGGATTCAGTTAATTCGTTAATTGAAGCTTCAAATATGTGAAAATGGCTTATTCTCAACCATAGTCAACTATATCTATGGCATGTCATAGGAAACTTCACCGAAGCTCTGTGATGTGTACATGATGAACAGCTAAAAGTACAAGCATGTGAAACTAGAAATTAGGGGGATTAAAACTAATAATTTAACTTGATTTCAATCTTATGCACTCTAATCATAGTATAATACGTATAAAGTAAACAAATAAACATACGTCTTTTATAACATATAATATATAATGTCATGTAGAACTGTAAATTGTCATATATCTTGACCTGTGTGTGTATTTTTTAAAATTAAAGTTGAAAATTATAAATATTAATTGAGTCCAAGTTAAAAGGACATATTAGTTGTAAAATATGTTAATTATATTTTTTATAAATATATAGTTTATGAATTGGAGCTATCTCATGAGTTGACAACAGTTCATCTAATATTTCATATCTTTATGCTAATTAAGAGTTTAGGTAATCTTTTACTTTTTACTTGTCGAGAATATTAGTATAGAGGATAATATGACCTATTAGGAGATTCTAGTCCAAATTATTGATTGTCGAGCTCGCAAGTTGAGAACCAAATAGATTGCATCGTTCAAGGTCTTGTGGAGAAATCAGTTTGTCGAGGAGACAACTTAAAAAGCTGATGAGGAAATGAAAGTATCCTTACTTCTCACCCCCCCCCCCCCCGAATTCAGTTTTAGTCTCAGGTACTTATTCTTCCAAAGCACCATTTTTATTTAACATGTTGAGTTCATTAGATTTTGTATGTATGTTGCATTGTTTTTTATTGTTAGACATTTTCTCCTCCTTTCGCACTTGGTTTGATTTCATCGAGGATGAATGTTTTTAAAGGAGATATTGTAACACTTCGAAAATTAGAAAATGAAAAATTACATTTTTGGGCTACTGATTGTGATTTCTATATAAGATTTGTAGAAAGTTTCACCGGTCATAGATGGATTTCGTAGGAATAAAGTTGAGTTTGAGAAAAATCAAATTTCTAAAGTTAGATCTACGATGGATCAGGACAAGCCATAGAAACTTTTACAGGCTGTAGAAAGTGCCCGTAGAAAGGTTTCACTAGAAAGAAATTAAATATTGATTAGAACTTTAGACCTACATGTCATAGAAAGGTCTACGAAAGTGCCCGTAGAATGAATCCAAGCTTAGTTATATTTTTGGTATTGAACTTGAATTATATGGAAAAGGTCTACGAACCATATAAATGATTTCATGGAAAGTGGGGTAAAATCTTAGTAGTAGTAACTTGATCTAAGGTTGACCAGTACGGTCTATAAGTTGAAAATCGTAGATTACTCTGACAGTTTTTAAATTAGGTTATTTTAATTTTTTTCTACCTTTTTCTAAGTGTGAATCCTATCGTTTTTACACCTACTTAAGGGTGAAGTAGGGTTAATCATCCTCATTACTTCATTAACAATCCCTAAGACTTAAAGCACTGAACTAAGAGGAGAAAGGTTGGGTTTTAGAAGCGTTCATTAATTTTATAGTGTTAAACTAGTTCGTTCTCATGCCTATATCTCAATTTAGTCTATAAAACTTTAATCTTGGATTACATCCTTAGTTTTGTGATTTTTTTATGTGAGTTATATTATTGATTTTGATTTTTTAATCCTTGATCACTAGTTGTTATATATGTTATTATATATTGAGGTCCATGAGTTATTGTTCATGTTTATATTTCACACGTACCCTAGTTTATGAATTTTGATTGAGAAACTTTTGAACAAGCATTTTTTGTCATAAAATTGATTTTTAAGGAGTTGAAAGTGAGTTCAAGAGGTTTTTGAGTTCAAGTTAAGGAAACTATATGATTCCCAAATATATATATATTTCTGCATAAAAAAATATTATTTTGAGAAAAGTAAAAGAATTTTTTTAAAAAAAATAAAACATGAAGCAATTATCTCTTTAAGATTTCTTTTTGAGTAATTATTTTAACCCAAAAAGAGTATTTTTACATTGAGCATAGAGTATAACTGCTCTGGTTGGATGAGATGTTGTATAATCAAGAAACTTACAGTGATGGTTGTCTCCCTAATAAAGTAAAGATTATTTTTATTATATTTATATATACTGCTTCTCGAGTTAACATCTTTTACTTTATGAAACTTTAAATGATTTTATCGCTATTTATATTTTACATTCAATTGAATATTACTTTAACTTCTTCAGTTTAGATATTTATTTTCCTCACCAACATTACACACCCATACATTTTTACAAATACTTATTTTTTTAAATTAAAATTATCATTATATTAAAACAAAATTTAGGATGTGCTTTAATTCATAATAAATATTAAATAGTAGGAAAAATGAATTGCAACATAACACAAAGTTGATAATTACAAATTAATTTTATTTGGGGCATCAGAGGGCGGGTAGGTTGGGTTAAAAAGTATTATTGTTGCTTTATTTGATTTAGTGATATCGACTAATTTTATTATTGAGAAAAGGGTCTGATCATTTGGAGCTGATGTGTCACTCATTATGAAAGCTAAGTGACGTATATATACTTTTATCATTATTTGAACGATTTACATATACCTAACCGTTACAAAATGAGTTTATATATACCCACCATTTAACGAGAGGAACTGAGGGACCTTCTCGAGCACAAAATATGTAATTGAGAGATAGAACTAGCCTATTAATTATGAAAAATCATTGCTCTGAATCAAAATTTCACCTTCAACTTTGAATAATAATCGAACTCCCCCGATAATCTTTTTTATCTTTATAATATATTTCTTTTTTTCAATATTCAACATAGTTTTAAAACTCTTGCATTTTCTACCCAAACATATTTTGAAAAATAATATTTTATCAAAAACTATTTTCCTACTCAACAAAAATAAATCTAATATGTTCTCAAAAGCAAACTTTAAAAATATAAGGTATATATAAATCTTAATATTATTTTACAAAAACTATTTCGATAAATTTATAATTTCAATAAATTCTTCAAATTCTAAATCCGTTTCTAATAAATAAATTTCCCATGAACAAGCTGTGACCCCTAGTCCCCTACACCCCGATTTATTTAAAAGATTAAATAAATATGACCATTGGGAACCAGTACCATCTGTATATTTTAATACTAATTTATTTTTTCTACAGAGTACAAAAAGTTTATTTATTTTTTTTATTTTGCTCTGTTTATGTCTATTTTTTATTTAAAAAATGCTGTCTATTTTTTATTTAAAAAATGCATTAATAAACACAAACAAACAACACATGCACAATTTATTAGCTAGTTCTAACGGCTACCTATACAAAGTGCTTTTGTTTGTTTCCATGGAAATATTTTTTTTTTATTCATCTGAGATCGATTAATAGATAATTAGAGAAAAGTTATATATATATATATATATATATATATATATATATATATATATATATTAAATTTTATGCAAGTAATAATATGTTTAATAGTTTTGTTAGAAGATAAATTCTTCATGTATAAAATTAAACAAAAATGCTAAAATATATCGTCGAGAAAAGATTCATATATGATATCTGTTAAAAATTTGACTTATCTATGTTGTTTTTGTTTGGGAAAAAAACTCATTCATAAAATGACATAGATGAACGTTTTCTCAATGTTCGATGACATTTATAAATATTTTTTTCCTTTTTATAAATGTTATAATTAATGATGTGGTCTAATAATAATTGACCATGTGTTAAAATAATTTTGCAAAATAAAAAATATTTTTAAGTTAAGAAATAATGACATAGATGAATCTTTTCTCAAACAATAATAATATAATAAACCAAACTTTTAACAAATAAGATAAAGGGTCCCTAAGATAAATGAGTCTTTTTTCAAAGCTCAATAACAATTATTAAATTTATTTGATCATAATGAATATAATTTGGTTTAAACATCGGACGCATATAAGCTCTAACCTTACATTATACTTTTTAAAAAAATCAGTTAGAATATACATAAAAAATTTACTCAAAAACTAGTAAGCTATTATGTCCTTTTCTTTTTTTAAGCTATGCTTGTTTCTAAAACCTTGTTTATTTTAATTGTTTTATCATAGGTCACACTGATTTGCCATTTTCATATTGTTCTTGGGACAATAATTCTCTATGTTAATTAATAATCATAATAGTAATAACATGACTCAATATATAATAACTTACAAAATTAGTTTTCAATATTCTCATGTGATTAAAAAAAATCTTCAAAGTGATTGTTCCTATATAGATACACAAGCACGAAATTGTGTTTAATTGGAACAAATCTGAATTAAAGCGTCTAAATAACATTTTCAGCCAAAAAAATAATTACTTGTAGGAATTCTAACTAACATTAATTGGCATGAAGCTATTTTTACCAAAATGTTGATGAAATTACACACAAGTTGCTTACAAGAATCAAAATAACTAAATATGGTAATTGCGTTTTGTATCTAAATTAAATAATGGAAATTCTGTTTTGTGCAACTAATTAATATTACAAGTATAAAAAGAAGGCTTTGATAAGTTCTCTAGGGAAAAAAAATCACAACTAATTTGGTTAATTAGCTAGAAAATATGGACATATTGTATCTGTTGAGCATCATATTATTGATTTCTTCCTTTGTTATTGCATTTATTTTCATCGTAGAATGTTGCACTAATGATATTGGAGATGATAAAAGAACACGAGGCACGTGTCGCGCTGTTACTTCACCGTCTTTTGACAATTTGGCTGCCACCGCTGGTCAAGTTGGCGGTGGAGCCACCAAAAGTGGTGGTACAAAAGATGTTACTATAGTTGTACATGATGGCATAAATGGTAAGGTAAATACTACTACTACTAGTGTTTACTCATCATCATCAACTAGCTATGTTGAGAATAATAAATATGGTATCTGCAAAATGGCGGTTACATTAGAGTCAGTAAACGATGATATTCGTGTTAATGATGGTGGTAGTGATAATAACGATGCAACCGGTGGTGCTAGCCATGCTAAAATAAGTAATAGTATTAATAGCTAAGCTTCTATGTGTTGGGAAAGAGGGTTTGTGCGGGGGATGATATCCCTACTCATATTATTATACTATTGTTC